GTTGTTGGACAGCACAGTCTTTTTTTAGAAAATCTTTTACTAGTGATGGTGTTTTTTTTTTTTTTTTTCTATTCATAATTTTATTACTTTATCAGTGTTAGTTCAGTTTGAAAAATCTGTACATGTAGGACATCATCTCCAAAATTGAAGTATTATCAAGGGTTTGTGAGCTTAATAGAAGACAATAGAAGAGTGTTAGCTATTGTATTATTTAGATGTGGCATTGTTTTCTAAGTATTATATTGAATTTGGAATGCCAGTATATAAATGAAAAAGGAAACCTTTTGTGGATATTTTGTGGAAGAGAAAGAAAAATAGGAACAACATATCTTTATGTAGCAGTAGAAAAACCTCCCATTACAATAGGAAAGATCAGTGTCAGAAATTTATGGGAGAAAATAGGATGGCTATTTGTAAGGAAAAGCATATCAATTTAGAGTTAGAGGCAGTTAGAAAGGCAATTTGTCTTTTCAAGGCATACTTTAATCTTTAGTCCATGGCAGCCTTCATTGAAATAATGAATCTGCCAATACTTTAATCATTGGAAGTTATGATAGCTTGGGAAACTTAAGATAGCTACAGTTTATTTTATGGCAAATGCAGGTTAGGTGGGTCATTTACATAGATCAGTATCAATATTAGCCATTAAGTAAAAATGTCTAAAAAGCTGCTGCCCTAGAATTATTGGACACTTATATCCAACTGCTGAAGACTGTGATGGGGGAAAGAGGGGATGCTGAATACTCTCATTTGAAAATTTTATATGCAGTGTGTGTGTGTGTGTGTGTGTGTGTGTGTGTGTGTGTGTACTTATTCACGATTTACCAGTTCTGGTGTAGAGGTGAAATTTTACCTTTTTTACATATAACATGTTCTGTTACACCAACTCCCTAAAATCTATTCCTTAACTTTGGTTTATTGTCAGTTAATGTGATTTACAAATATTGATAAATGGGAAAACTCTGTCAGATACCTTTTAAACCCCAGAAGCCTACAGGGTGAAATGTGCATGTTAAGAGCTTTCATGGCAATTGCTCCTCATGGTGCCTGTCAGTTGTCTCTCTATGTGACCTGTTAGCGGATAATGATATTAATTGCCTCAACTAAGTGTTATATTGGTCTCAAAGTCATCTCAAGTTCAGTGTAAATTTTTCAAAGCATCAAACAAATTGGTCCAAAAGTGGCAAGATTTGGTTGTCACAGGATGTATCCATTTTTCTGCCAACCATCATCATGACCTTAATAAAGCTGCAAAGTGTTTATGATATTTAAAATGTTTACTAGTTTTATTCACAATACTGATACTATAAATGAATGACATTTTATTTATATATTTATTTATTTATTTATTTTTGAACTTAAGAAAAAAGCTACCTTTTTTATTGTAGTATATCTTGAAAGATTTGTGTTAAATTCTTTTGATATCACGAACAATAGGATAATTGCACTTGTATTTCGCATACAGCCTTTTGTGTATTTTCATATGCTTCAGGTGCGTTCATCCTATTGTTCGAAGCTCCACAGCCGTGGTATAAGTCAGTTACAACTACTCGTCATCCACTGTATGTGACATATAAGAACAAATTGTATCTCGGCTGCACCTCAATATAATTACGCTCTTATATGTCACATACAGTGGACAAATAGTGTTGTAACTAGAACTTAAAATAAAACCACTTTCTAATTGCAGGTTCCAAGAAGCATTTTCTCGGAACCTTTTTTGAACTTTCTTGTTCTCGAATTATGCATATTACAAACATCATTGAAAGTGGCAATTATCAACATTTTTTTGAAAGAAAGAAAAAGGAAGTTTTAAAATATATGATATAAAGTAAATTACATTGCTATGGTTACTTGCCACCTACGATTGTGAGTGATTCATTGAAAAGATCTGAGATGCATATCCTACTCAAAACTTTATATCTCCACTTATACAGCTTATTTGGTTGTTTTATAGCCCTTTGAAAAGAGATCTTGAATCGATCTTTTAATAAATTAATAAATTGATACATCTGGATGTGGAAAAAAAGACCCAAGTTCTTTTACCTAGAATGTGCTCTCTCGCACATCATTGCTTTCCTTCAACTACCAAATATTGGTAACCTAACCATGAATGTTTAATCCTCACAGGCCCTGCTCAAGTGGAGATGTGACCCTTTGAAAATAACATACATTGTAGCTGAAAATTGAATTTGGGGGCAGGAATAAAAAAAGGAAGCCTGTATGCATTAGATGCTTATTAAATATTTTATTTAGGTGTTTTGAACTGAAGAATGGACTGATTGTTATAGAGTACCAGATAGGTAGATTTCAAAAATATGGTTCATTAGGTAAAAGATTAACATTTATACGAGTTTCAAGATATAATGAAAATCACTCTAAATTAAAAAAGAAATACAAAAAGGCTATTAATCCTTTGAAATACAATTTTGGAAGAAAGTCTTTAGCTGAAGGTAAAAGGGCAAACAGATGAAATACATCAGCCAAATTGTATCCAATTTATCAGCCAAATTATATCCAATTCTATGAACCTTCACCTAACCACTTTGTTTTTGGTGCATAAAAAAAACTTTTTTTCTGCTATTTTAGTGTGTACATCATAAATGATGATAAATTGCTCATTTTTATTATGATGTATGAAATGCACAAGTATATCTACACATACATGTGTGACATTTTACATTCAAGACCTCTGTCCTTGTCACACCCCATGCTAGATCTGTCATTTTTTGCACGACTTTTGTTCAGGTCAAGTCCTATTACCCCACTGATACTCTTACACAAATGTTAAAGTCATTAGTGGATTCCAATTATCACTCGAAGACAGGAAATCGCAGTTAGGACAAGGTGATAATTGATTCCTGTCACATTAGTGTCTATAAAAATATGTAATTGCCTGCATTTACCATAACAATTTTGGGCATGTTTGAACCAGGTGCACACTTTGTGTAAAACTTGCAACTATTTCTGTAGTGTTTACATGTAAAACTTAAGTTTTGCATTATCTACATTTTTTCTGTATATTTTTATTATTATATTTTTTTTTTTTAATTAGTTTTATGCCATTTTGGGGCTTATGTGCTTAATGAACACAGCTTTGGATTCACAGGATGCTAAGATCCCCCTGGATTCCTCATGCTAACAAGCTGTGAGACTGCCAGTGGTATTGGCAACAAAAGAATATGGAATATGTTGCTCAGAACATTGGTAAAGTTAGCGAGATACTCCCTACTTGCCCAATGCAAAACAAGCAGTCTCTGTATAAACCATGATATGTACATCCTTGTTAATTTACTTAGACAATTGCTTTACCATAGTCCATTCCTCATTATTATGTGCTATATTTTTATCAATATTTCTAGTATTAAGATCTTCAACATCTTAATGGAGACACAAGTTTTGCAGTTATCAGTGTTACATTAAGTGTTATGGAACTTTATTCACTGTCACAGGTTTGTTTTTTTTACTCCAACCTTGGGTATTTTTCCAACATTGGGCAGCATTTCCACTCAAGGCAAAGGTGTTGCAATTCAAACTGGAGGTTCAATGCATATGGGCCATTACTGCAAGCCCACAATATAGTCTTGAAGCTTTTGTGATTTGTCAAGCCTTCAAATGTTGCTTTTAACCCAGAAAATGAATGTTTCAGCTATTTTTATGTATTTTGGGAATTGATTATAGATACTAGTATACATGTATGTGTATATTTATGTAGAATTTTTGGACTGGTATGATAAAGTGTGACTAATCCTGACCAATTTTCAATCCAAATATTTGGTATTGTTGTTCCTTGAATTTAATAAACCAGAGAAGTACGAGATACCAGGTGTCTTCCTTTACAAAATCAATTATACGCATACTTTAATCTAATTGAGATCAATTATATTTTATCTTAGGCACTGGAGTTGCTACCCACCACATCTAAGGTGAAAGAAATTCTTGTATTCCTTGAAAATGTCTTGGAGGATCGAGCAGCAGAAAAGAGAAATGCTCAAGTTCTCAAAGGACTCATATTCCAAGAACATTTAATGGTAAGACAATTACTTCTCAAGATTTCTATGCTGGGTCCTTTTTGAGGAAAGATCGATATGTAATGCAATGTATTATAGGGATTATATAAAATGAGCAATCCTTACATTTATCAGACCAAGAATATATTTTGCATTTTAAGAACGGACTTTGAGGTTTATGACATTTCTTTATTTGATTATTATAGATCTATATATAGAGCAAGAATAAAGGGAATTTTATGAAATGATTTCTTTAAGGATTTTTTTTTTTTTTTGGTGCATTGTCATTATGTGTATAATATTTGGTGTTTACTTTTATTTTATGTTTTTGATTTTCCAGGTTCAGAGTCAGAGAATGTTTTACCAAAAGAAAAAATGCATTATAACTGAAGAAAAGAACTGCAGAGTTTGCAGGAAAAGAATAGGCAACAGGTGATAAAGATTACATCCTTTATACTTATGTATTATTAGGGCACTAATGTATTATTAGAGCATTTTGACTTTTTGAAAACATGTTAACAACTAACAATGTAGTTGAATGAGGGTTTACATATAACTGTTACAATACATGTAGTTTCTAATAGCTTGCTGTATTTTCAGTCTAGTAATATTGGCTGTGAGCACTGCTGTCGATGCCAGATACATGTAACTGATTTCCTTTTTTATTGCTTTTGGGATGTACATATATTTTATTAGTAAGCAGGGATTTTTTGCCAAGTTGGAAAAAAGACATACCGATTACATCTTTTTGAGTTTCGTATTATTTTGATGAGTGTTTCCCACCTCCTCCAACAAGTTTGAATGTTTGTTACATTCAAACAGATGAAAATTATAATTAATTTTGGTTTGTCCCAAATGAAAGAAAAATTGTTATAGACATTTTGTAGTGTTAAGTGCTCCTATCCTGACATTTTTGTCTAATAGCATTGTCTCAGTTCAACATGCCAGGACCTTAATGTATATGTATACCCGAAGGATATGAAAAAATGTATAGTGGATTTTCTTTTAACCATGCTGCACTTTCATGGTGCCACTTCTCAAACACTTCAGTTTGCTGGTTGACTGGTTTGTTAAGGTGGTTTATTGACTAAACTTGGAAATTTAATATTGCTATTCAGTGTGGTATTTGAAGTTCCTGCGTGAAGATTGATCAACCGAGAATAGAAGCTGTGATAGACAGCTTGGTGTTTTGCAAGGCAATTTTCTTAGAATTTTCAATTCTTTGTTCAAAGATCAGTGCAGATTTGAGGTTCATGTTATTGTTCATGCGGTATTATGTTTGATTTGAAGTTTATTGCTTCCTTTGTTTATGCACAGACACAGGGATTTCACAGTTAAAGCAATAAACTGTGTGCCTTATAATCCTTCAACTAACAGAGTGATAGTCATAGCACTGATCCCCAAAGGGACTGTCACCACATATATGTGGTCATTTCTCACATTTCTCACTGACCCAGAACCACATTAATGCATATATTGGAAATAATTAGTTTTATTTTTTTTTTTTTTTTGATTAATGATTCATGAAAAAATACCATGCTGTACATGCAGGTATGTTTCACGCCTTTTATTTAGCTATCTTGGAAGATTTTTTAATTTAAGGGGGAGTGAAAAAAAACATGATTTTGTAAGCACTTGTTTCAAAAACTAGAGAGAAAATTGTGGCATTTCACCACCTCAGATATTTAGATAAATTTTCAATTACTTAATTAATTGGGCTTAGATAAGGTTTCTAGATCAACACCAAGTGGCCTCAATGGGGTAAAATGTAGGCCAAGTTTAAATAGCAGCCCCACCTTGAAAATGTTAATGTGCATAACTTAAAGATAAACCCCTTTGATATATACATTTTCTGAATGTCCACATTGAAAGTTGCACATATTTAGAAATCAGTAGTGAATTACATGTATGTTGTTAACCATTATGTTCTGTTGCATCTTAATTTGCAGAAAGCATTTTGCAATCTGCCACTGATTACACTATGAAGGGAAAATGAGTTACTTGTTATTTTCAAACTTATAAGAGTGTTTCTTTGACTAAAATACACAGATGGTTTGAAAACCAGTCTGATCGGATTTTATTTCTTAAAGTTATGCAGTGTTTTTTTTTCCACACTTTGGCAATTTTAAGATGTGACTTTAAACTCCCCTGGCCCTGAAGCCTTTTGCCAGTAAAGTTTTCAAAATGATCACAGTAACAGTAGAATATAATTAAAATTGATGGTAATTGTGCTGTTAAGAGATATGTAATATTTGGCTTAACTTGGCAAAGACCCAATTTTTTTGTGCTGCCATTGTTATTTCCTAATTTATGTCTGCACATATGATATCTTTGCTGCCTTGTTTATAATGCTTTGTTTCATTTCAGTGCCTTTGCTCGATACCCCAATGAGGTGGTGGTCCACTACTATTGTTGTAAGGATCCAAATGTTTGCCCTAACATAGACTGATGGGACAACAGACTTCAGCAACATCTTGTAGACTCTGGAAGCCCCTCATTAAGATGAAAAAAAACATGTCATTAAATACTTTTGGCAACCAATTGCTACCAAAAGACTTGAAAAGTCTGCAGCCTACAAGTACATGTACATTTGTATAAACCGATGGACAATGTATGTTATATCTGATGCAGGGATTGGTAAATATTTGTGTTGTTTAAAACACATAATTGTCTGTGCTGCCATAATGGGCATGTGAGCTCATAGTGCAATATCCAAAAATGTTGGCAAGTAGCAAACATTTTGGTATCAAGATCACAGTATATATTCATACAGGCTGAACTGTCACATAGACCTTTCTCACATAAAGTGGAACAGTTTCTTGTACATGTTTATATACATAAGCTATGGGAGGTTTCTTTTAAAAGCCACACTGTTCTGATCATAATAGTTCTGGTTAGCTAACGTAGGGGCTCTGTTTAAGTTCCTTTGCTATGTAATAGCCAGGCTATTATATTGTCAGTCTCTCAAACCGAAGATGTACAGGAAAGTATACCATTCAATGTGAAAAGGGCCTTAGGTTGACAGTTCAACTTGGAACTCTTTCTTGTGCGTATCTGTTGGATTACAAGTGAACACCATGCTAACAGTCTGTCCTGCCAAAGACAGAAAGGGTTACATGTATCTTCAGTATTCACAATGTAAATTGTTTATCATCTATGACTACAAGTCAGTTAATATCTCCCTAGGGAGCAACAATCTCTTTGTTGTGGTAGCAAGCAGATGCTCCCACAGAATGGACTCTCCATGCTCACATCTGATTATATATAGTCACGGTATGATGACATTTTAAAAGCTGTATTTCAGTAATATATCTGTCCCTTGAATAACACCACAGTGGGTTAAGACCCCATTCCCATACCTAGATTGATCTAGCAGGATTGACCCATCTCTGAGGGGTTTCTTGCTAAATTACATTCGCTCTGTCTGGCATGCCTACTGAAGCTGTTAAGGGGTAATTAACTATCATTTAGCAGCTTCAGTAGGCGTGCCAGACATCTAAGCTGCTTAATCTGAATGCAATTAAGAGAGAATCCCCTCGGAGATGGGTTGATCCTGCTAGATTGATCTAGGAATGGGGTCTGAAGGTCAAAGGCAAATAACTTAAATTGCAGTATTGGTTAGCATACAATAGCCATTTTCATTAGGATTATTCCACCATTCTGTTGGTGACAAAAAGCCTATAATTTGTGATTGATTATAAATGTTCAGCAACTGAGTGGTTTTGTTATTGATCTAGGAATTATAATAAGCCATGTTGTATGAGAATATCTATGTAAAAGAAGTTCCATTGATATTGTGCACATACTTTGAATTATAAGGAATGAAATATAAACTAAGTCTGAAAAACTGAATTTGACTAAACTTGATTTATTTATCAATTTTATGTATCAACAAAGAGTCAGTACACATCTGTATAGCCATCACCAGCGTCTGTTGTCATCGTGCACTCAGTGATAGCACAATAAGCAGAAAACAGTTTGACTTCCTGTCTTCAAACTTACAAGAATGAAGAATGTTACTACATGTAAAATGCAAGTGGATTTTGAAAGATTGATTGGTATTCTTGGCAGTTGTGTATTTTTTGGGGGAATTTTTCAATTATGAAGTATTGGCATTTTCAAGGTGTGGTTTTGAACTTCCATGGGCCTGAAACTCTATGCTGGTTATATTTTCTAAATATCCATGTTGCCTGTAGGCTGTAGAACATAATTAAAATTTGGTGGTGTTTATGCTTATACAAATTGTATTATATTGCATCAAAATTGACAAAAAGAACTATTTTGTGCACATCCAACAATAACACCATAAAAGGAAAATGTGTAGCTTATCATGGATTTGGAACAGTATCCAAGAAAAAATTGATCAGAAACAGTTTGGCAGCATAAAGGGTAGTTGCACTACTTTTGCTTTGATTGAAGCCATTGATATCATTGCCAAGTCAGTATGCTAGAATGCTACTGGTAGACTGTGCTAAAGTGTTTGACACAAAATTGCTCACTAACTACTTACACAAAAACTTCATCCTTTGGGACTCCACAAGGTCATTATTTGGTGGGTCACTGAATTTCTCACAGAGAGAAAGCAATTTGTGAAAATCCAGAATAATTTACTGGAGTACACAAGGTAAAAACTTGGCCCTGTGCTCTTTGTGCAATGATCAATGACCTCAAAACCTCCACAGACACCTTTAAATATGTTGACAACACAACTCTAATTAATTTCGCCACCAATAACTCTAGACCAAATACAAACTGTTGCAACAGAAACCTTCTGTTGGTCACAAAAAAATAACATGTCCATAAATTCCAAGGAAACAAAGGAGATAAGGTTCAATTTCTCAAAATCTGGTCAGAATTCCAACCAATAACAATTGATGGTAAGAGTGAATTCTTCCTTATTTTAAGGACTCGGTATAAGTCAAGAACTAAATTGAGAAACCCATATCAATCACATTAACAAAAAGGCTAGCCAGAGAATACATTTTAGAAGAATTTTAAGAAAGTGGGTTCTCACCTCATGACTTACTGAAAATCTACATGTCTGATGCAAGTCCTACTACCCTTGAATATGCTGTGCAAGTGTGGCACCCTGGACTGACCAAGTGCCAAGCTAAAAAAAATTAAATCTGTCCAGAAGAGAGTTTTTAAGATACTGTATCCAAATATTTTGTACACCGAAGCATTACAAAAAAAAATGCAAGTGTATGGAAGAGCCTTGCTGAGTTTATTACCAAAAATGAAAGGACATTTGCATTCTCTGAGGCACTCTCAGAACTTCTATATCCCAAAGGTTAAAACTGTCAGATCTGCAGACTTTAATCAAATGCCCTCAGAAATTTTAATATACAAACTCTTGACTATTTTAAAGAAACTGATTGATATAATATTTTAATAATTGAATTCTTTTATGTTACTATTTTTAATGAAATGATTGATTTAATATTTTTATATTAATTTGATTCTTTTATGGTATTGAACTATTTAAAAGAAGCCATTTAGATGTAGTATTTTAATCAGGGAATTCTTTTATGTTGTATTGTCATAATGTGTATTAATTGTTTTTAAAA